TGAAAAGAAAATTGCACCACACAAGCACACACACACACACACAAAGACATACACACACACGTAGCGGACCACCCCGCCCCGGTCCCGCCTCGGGTCCCGCCCCGCCTTTCGGGCCCGACCCCATGGAGAACAGACAGACAGACCGAATCATGTGACGGGCAATAGTTTCTAAACGACAAAAACCGGAGAGACACACGCAGAGAGACACACGGAAAGAGAGACAGAGAGATAAAGAGAGGGAGGGAGTTTCGTAACTTCGGGAAGTTTTGTGGAGCAATCGATCAAGTGGACTCGTCTTGTTTTCTTGTGTTTTTTTCTGAGGCTGATGTCAGTGACACAGCGGAGCGCCGATCGTCGCCTGCGTCACCTTTTCACCGGAGTTGCCTTTAATTGAGTTTCTCTCACTGAGACGTCCTGAGAGTCCGCTGAGGAACTATCGTCTCTCCTGGAAATACACTCGCATACACCGTCTGAGCTGTAAGTTTGACTCCGCGATCCTCCTCCGACCTTACCGGGGGGCACTTTCATACGGTGACCCCGGCGACCTGCTCTTATTCCCTACCGGATATATACTCCAGCTTTGTGTGAGTGTGAGTGTGAGTGTGTGTGTGTGTGTGTGTGTGTGTGTGTGTGTGTGTGTCTTATTTTAACGCATATTTGTAATATGGCAAAGAAAAGAAGTCCATAAAGTCCATAAGAGTTTTTAGCGGGACCACGCTGACTGTGTGGTTGATTAGCGTCATTAGTTCAAAGTTGTTTTTATGACACGCGATTTGATTTTGTGTGTTAAATCAACATTTTTGTATATTTCATGTTGTAAAAAGAAAAAAAGAAGTGTCATTTAAAAAGGAAAAGCGTTTATTTGGTGGCTAAATGATGTTAACAGTGGCAGCAGGGAGACTCTGCTATTTATAGCCATCAGAGCCTTTTATAGAACACAGTGTGGTTTAATTAATGAGCACGCAATAGTGGTCAAATACAGGCTTTGAGGGAGAAACAGAGGCTCTAACAGTGATGTGTCTCCTTCTGTGCAGTTGGCTCCTCTCTGTTTCAGTGATGACATGTAAAGTGTGAATGTGTGGTGGTTTCAAATGGTTTAGAGATTTATCACAGATATTAAAAACAGAGTGATCAGTTAAGGCCTCAGTTGGTCTGTTTGTTTGTTTGCTTTTCCATTGAAGCGATTCACTGTTTTAGTTTCAGAAATGTCAAATAAGAATTGATGATCGTCCAATTACAAGCTCTGGCCAAGGTGACGCATGCATGTGTCTGATCGTGTCCCAAAATATAAAGATATTCCATTCAAAATAATGCAAAAGCAGCAACATGTTACTTTGGAGAAGCTGGGATCATTTGCCATTTTTTTCTTGACGAGGCAGCTGAAAGGATTCATCGATCCTCACCATCATCTCAGTCACCGGACGCATTGACTGATTTATTTATTTATTGCTTCAGCTGTAGATCTGTTTGACAGGCCGTCAGTTTATGGCTGAATCTGATGCCCCAATCAGCGTTGTGTAGGCTCTGTGTGAGAGATGACCGTCAGTGTCACACACGCACACACACACACACACACACACACACACACACACACACACACAGGAGCGTATAGTGACAGGTGTGTGTTTGTGTGTGTTCAAACAGTCAGTCGCACCTGAGCTTCTTTGTCTTCCCTCTGTTTTCACTGCATCTTTTATAATACACATCTGCGTGTGTACGTGTGTGTGTGTTTTTTTCTCAGTCTCTGTCTCTCCCTGTTTCCTGTGCTTTGTTTCAAGGCTGAGGCTTGCGTCACACATTCCACTTGGCATATGAAGCCCTTATCCTGTTTAGAGCCTGGAGTGAGAGAGAGAGAGAGAGAGAGAGAGAGAGAGAGAGAGGGAGAAAGAAGGGAGGAGAGAGGGATGTGGATGTGGGGGGTGGACGAGTGGAATGAGGGCGACCTCTCTCTCTCCGCCTCTTTGTCTTACTTTACAGTCTTCAACCTCTCTAGAAAAGTTTAAAAAAGAGGATGACCTCTCTTTTTATTCATTTCTTATTTATTTGTTTCCTCATCAGAAAATTACCCCACCCCTACGCCTTTTTTTCTCCCCCTGAATCAACACGCTGATGTTATCTGGTGGAACAAAATGCACACACACACACACACACACACACACACACACTGCTCAAAGGGCATGTCCGAGGGAACATTAGGGCTAAACATTAAACTCCTGGACACCGAGGAGTCGCTGGTTTCTCCGTTAGAAGTTAGGGGAGTAAGCGCACGGCGGTCAACAGACTGCCGTAAACGTAAAAAAAGAAGCTGTAACTCGTTACACAACTGTTTGCGCAAGCACAGACACGCACTCGTGCGGTGTGCGCGCGCTTTGGAACCACTGGATTGAGCCACTGTGGCTGTTCCTTGCCCCCCCCCCCAGCCCCCTCCCCGTGTTTGAGGTTCATTGAAGTTTTGTCATATTTTGGTCGAAACCCAATTCGTTTTCTTCCTCGTTCCCGTATCTGTTCTTTCCACTTCCATTTTGACATAGTTTGGTCAGAGCGGCTGTTTTCTTTGCCCTTTCTCTCCTTCCATATCCCCCCCTCTCTCATTCTTCGGGTAGGGAGGTGCAATGTGTGTGTGTCAAGACAGGAAACCGCAGGCCCCCTGCAGCAACCCCCCCCCCCCCCCCCCCCCCCCCCCCCCCCCCCCCCTCCTCTATTTGGCTTCACTCTCCTCTTTGGCTTCTTTACACCCCCCGACCCATCACGCAGTGTGGAAATAATAACAGTCAGACTAAAGTCTGAGGGCTTCCGCTTCTCCCTCTCTTTCTGCCCCCCCGTCCTCCCCCCGTCCTCTCTGTCCTCAGTTGTCTGGAAAGCCTCAAAAACGTTGCTCTCTTTGACAAGTACGGCTCGAAGTGCTGGCACGTGTGTGTGTGTCTTTGTCAGTGTTTGAGCATTGTGTCAACTCCGGTGTGTGTTTTTTTTTTTTCGCGCGATGATG